GATGTGTTGGAAGGAATTAAAAATACTTGCTTTCAAGTGTGGTTGGCCCACAGGCACAGACAAATCAGGGGAAGATATCTATCACTGCTTACTTAAAATATTCTTTGAAATAAATGCTGATGCACAGACTTTCACTTACATAAGGAAGGTGAATGATTTAATCAGGTAATGATGGATTCGGGTGACATTTAGTGTTAGGTTCACTGGAGGGCTGCCATCTTTGCACCAGAGCCAAGGTCCACAGGCTAGTGCACTAAGATGTAAGCCTCCACCCTATCCTTGTATAAAACAACAATAATCTTAGCTACCAGCAAAGATGCTGAAAAGCCATACAATCTTGCTTTAATTTGCTTTCACTTCCTCCACAGAAGGTATATAGTCAACTTTCAGAGTTGCACAGTGGCCTTTAGAAACCACTTTGGTCATGTGCAACTTTGAATCAAACTTTATCTTGCCTTATCTGAAGGTACATAGCTAGTTCTAACTTTCCTGATCTAAAAAAAAAAAGTATTTACTGTTAAGTATTTGTACATTCACAGATCAAATTGGCTCAGTAATGGGTCAACACTCTAAAGAGGGTTGAAAAACCTGAACACTTGAGGGATTAAAACCAATTCTGAATAACTAAAAACGTGAACACTTGGTCTAGTTCATATAATGACCAAAAAGACAAAAATATTTCAAGGATAAATATTTTTTGTTTGTATTAGGAGGCATGCACAGGCAACAGCTCACAGGGATGAAGCTCTGAAGTGAGTCCGTGAGGGTATGATTGCAGGCCTTCTTACCAACTATTGTTATACTGACTCTGCATATAAACAGAAGATTGCCACCTCAATACTGTTCATCCAACATATGAACAAAAAATCTTACAGTCCAAGAACTGCAGGGACTACTGAATGCAAAATATTTGAAGTTTTGTGAGGAAAATTCAAACACTATCCAAGGAAATAATAAGTAAGTTCTGAGACTTTTGCAACAAGCCTTACGAGGAAGGCAGCATATCAATACATAGGCTTTACACTCTGTCTTTTCATGCTAGTTTAATGAGTCCAAAGACAACAGTCCTGACAATTTGGAAGGAGGAGGGAAGAAAGTTTCCTAGCTGCAGGCAATTATTTTAGAGAGATAAGCACAAAAATAAAAAACACTAATAAACTATCTTTGAAACTCTAATTCCTATCATCCTTCTACTAAAAGCATACCACTTCAATCCACTTGCTGAGATGTTTAAGTTATTGGCACTGAGTAATTACATATTATTAATTTAAAATGTGTACTTACTAGTCTTTATGATAACTGAGCAAATAAAAATTATGATAAATATATTTACACTAAATATTCACTACAAAATATCTAGCAAGCACAAGACCTCTGTGCTGAGCACAAGACTTTGCACCCAGCTGACAAATGAAAATTCTTTTTTCCCCTCTTTCTTTTAATGAAAGCTTGGAGTTTTCAAGATACCACAGTGCACAGCAAAAACTGTGAAGAGACCCTAAAAATCAATGGACCTGTAACTATTTTTAGATGTTGCTATTTTCTACTATGCTTGATGCTAAGCCAATTTTGGGGAGATTTGGCTGTGTGTGTATTTCTGTGAGACATTTGCAATCAGCCACCATGTAAATTATCCCAGAAGCAAACTGAGAGCTGCAGCTGAGTGAGTGCTAGGCTGAGCAGAGAGAACATCCAGTTCTCCCATCCCTTGTATGTCACAAAAGGGGCAGAACATCACTGGATTCTACTATTACCTAATAAGACACTGGTTTTATATATTGAGGTCTTTTTTTAGTGAGTTTTGTTCTGGGGTTTTTTTAGCCAGGCGATTTCTTGCTGCTACTTTTTTCTAATATTATTGATTTTTATCGTAATTATGCATACTTTACCACAACCCCAAACATATTTCTGTGCTATGTTAAAAACATATATTAAAAAAAGGCAGAATTACTCCTTCTTATAATTCAAAACAAGGTTCACGTAATTTCTTAACTTTTAAGGAAATTAGCAGGGATTGCATGAGGCAGGAAGAAGAGGATAAAGCCATCAGCCAGGAACGGATGCTTTTTAGACTAAATTGCTGAATTTAAGAAGGAATGACAATCTCCATTAGCCTTTAAAACAGGTGCATACTCTACATTAGAGTGATATTCACCTTGCGTAGGGGCTACTAGGTATTCTGTAACGCACTTCACTTCTGTCTTACGTCAAATGCTGGTGGTGTACAGATACTGTGTTGGTTGTCCGAGCAGCTGCCTGTGGCCTTCCCCTACTGAGATTTCAAGAGGCTCCTTTGAAATAGAAAGAATGGAAAGACTCCCATTGACTCACTGGAAAGGACATCAGGGCCTGACGTGAACACAAGATGTTCTTCATAATCTAACTTTATCAGCTCAGCCTTTCTCTCACTGAAGTCAGGGCAGTTGTGCTCATGACTTCAAAAGGAGTAGCACTTAGGATCTGCAAGTCTGAGTTAATTTAGTAACTGATGAATGAGGAACAAGAAAGGTTTGGGAAGTCAAACATTCTTTTTCACTGAATCTATAATTAAGTACCCATCACAATTAAGTTATTAGGATTTAAAATAAACAATTCTTTGAGCCAAGACGTGTTATCCTTACATATGCACAGTTACATTATTTGATTCTTTGGACAGTCTGGTTTTCTATTCTGTATTTATATACCTATTCTGGTTTATTTCTATTTTCCTGCTTTCTTATTTGCAGTTATGCAGCAATCAACTTATTTTAAAAATAAGCAGAGAAAGGAGGTGATATGAACAAGGAAGTGAATGGTACAGGGAAGAGTGACCTCCATAACACTGGGACTAAACTCTATCAATTAGAGCAAAAATATTTCTGGGGAATTATTCTTCATGCAAGCGTAAAGGTAGAATTTGCCCATTCAAAACATGAGGAAGCACCTTTTTCTAATATACTTTTAGTCACCTACCACAATCCATGGTTTGATTCACCGAAGTAAGTAGCTCCCATTATTTTGGATGGTATGTGAAAACTCTCAGTAGTTGTGCCAGTTTAGTCAGCACCATTACTGAAGATGCTGCCATGACACTATGATGGTAACATACTTCCTATTCTTAGTTTCTTCATTATTGCTTTTCCATTCGATGCTTGGTTTTGCCTTACTGCATTTTTTTTTGTCTTCACAGCACTGTCACCTGCTGATGCAGCTAGTGCTCTAACCATACTGAGACTTTTTGCACAGCTGCCAGTTCTAACTTGAGCTACAGGGCCAAGTCCAGGCTGCTAATCTGGAGAATGACGTCCCTGTCTTGTGCTTCCATGCCCAGAAACTTGCTGTTTGTGGTGCGGTGTAAAATTGCAGGTTACCTATTACTGCCAGAAGTCAACACTGCAATCCGTTAACATTTCTGTGGCATTTTTTTCATGCTCAAAATGCAACTAAAATAATCATGCATCAATTCAGTCCTGTAGGACAGCTATTACACAACATTTAAGTACCATTAATAAAAGCAAGAGTTGCTAGTTGAAATTGGTGCTCAAAGTTTAGTGACCACCAAATACAAATTGCTTCAGTGGAAACATCTTTTGAGCTTTTCTGAAAACATTCTTGAGGTCAAGCAAAATCACCTACCTCTTTTTTTTTTATACTGTTTCTGCATATGTGCTCATTTTATGTATTAACCCAGGCCACTAGGAATCTTCACAGGTATCTTTGTTTACTGGTTGCAAACAGTGTGACATTCAGTTCCATTAGAACAACTGAAGTCTAATGTTTCTTTATAGTGGCTGTATGGCCATCATAAAATGGGTACTTCATGCTGGTAAAAGGTCCAAATCTCCCCAGCAGTAAAATGGATAAGAGAAGAACAAATTGGCCATTGTCTCCACAATGGAATAATTAAAATATCGTTCATTATTTTCCTTATTAATTTTATATCCAAATACAGAAGTACTATATTTAAGAAATCGTGACCAAATGCTTCAAATTTGGGTGATGTGAAATTACAATCTGAAGTTCACTTTATGCTCATTTGTAAAAAGAAAAGTCTATCACTAGATAGCATTGTCTTTCCTGAGAATTCCAGGTGCTCAACATCTAAGAAAATCAAGCAGGTTTTATTGAGGAGCTTAAATTTGGACTTAGCAACCTAATTTTAGTCTCTGAAGTCTGAATTTAATTTAATGTGACACTATATTCCTGTACAGGCCAAGCTTGGCCTCATGTTCTTTAAATAAAGCACCTTCAATTTTACTTGAAAGGATGATATCTAAATCAAAGTAGAAGGTTATTTTGTCTCCATAGGTTCTGAAGCTAGAAGAAGCAGTCATGCAAATTATCCCATTCGTACTAATTTATGCCAAAATATGTGGCATATTTGTAACAGGCATCAAGAGCAGATTAGTACAAAGTACTGATCAGAGACTAAAAGTTGCCAACTTACTCTCCTTAGAATGTGATCTTACAGTTAGTTTTTTGAACCCATTTAAGGCCACTGTATATTGTGGGTCAAAGACCAGGTATTAATACACTGATATACACAAAGCACTACACCATCACATTTTGTGCCAATTTTAAATGCACTGGTGCTCTAACAAAAAATAAACTGGATTTCTGTAACAATTTAAGTAGGGCAATGGTGTAACTAGGAGCAAAACAGAAGCATGATCCCTGGGTGCTAGCCACAAGGTATGTTCAAGAGGCATCCATGACAATGTTCAGAAAACATTTCACTTTCTTTGCAACAATTGTTTAAGGGAATCCATGAGAAACTCATACAGAAAACAAATCTGAATGTGCACTGGAGAGCTTCAGAGTTTTTGTATTGTTCAGAATCAAAATAAACATGGCAGTGGGCTCAACATGACAGACAGAAAAGCCCCAAAGGGGCTTTTTCATGACCAAACAGTATGAAGAATGCAAAGGTACAGTCTGAAGTCCTAACAGGGTTCAGGCAAAGACTCTAAGTTTTAATTTTGAGCAAAAGGAAAAAAAAGGAAGTTTAAAGAATAACCAACCTTGAATTGTCCTCTTGAAGAAAGCCTTGCAGGCCTCGCAGGAAGCCACTCCATAGTGGTACCCTGATGCAATGTCACCACACACCAAACACAGTCTTTTGGGCATCGAGTTCAGCATATATTCACACTTGGTCTGTGAATCTTCAGCGATGGTACTGGAGCAGTCATCATACCGTTTCCTGACCGGCCCGTTGCCCCCAAGCCCTGTGGCTGAAGGGTAGAGGGGAGGTGAGTCCAGCCCGTTCTGATGTCCATTCATGGTGGAACTGTAGCTCCCACTGGCGTCTGAGGAGCCACCGGGGCTGTGGTGGTTGATGCTGTCCGTCAGAGAGGCAGGGCTCGACGGTTCCGTCTTGATGTACGACGAACAGCTAGAATCAATGTGTCGATCTTTGCTTGACATTCTGCAGAGAAGCCTGTAGTGGGGAGAGAGAGAAAGAAGAATCTGTGTATTAAAGGCAGTGCTCTTTAAGGCTGCTCTGGAAGGGTTAGGGACTGCACATCATTCATTCATTAGTCAATACTTCTTGTTCTACATGAAGGTAATCAGCATAAGGGCATGACAGAGCTTTGTCAAAGCTCCAGACAGGCAGTAAACAAAAACTTTAAAGAGACCAAATCCGTCTGTTGTCCCCTACACCTGCCCTCTAGGCTATGTGTCAACCTCACATCAACTCTAAATTCTGAACTTGTCATCTAGCAAGCCAAGAAATTTAAAAATCCTATTAGATGATTTAGGTATTAAATGTCTTCATTTTTCCATCTATACTTTCTTTCTGTAAATTCCATCATTATCAGAAACAAATATTTCCAAGTTTCATCACATAAATGATCTGCTCTGTAATTAATATTTGTCAAGACACTTGACTAAAACGTGTGTCCACCATCTATTGATCTGATCCCGGAATTGAAGAGCAAGTCTCTTGCAATCTTTTTTTCCCTTTATTAATATTGCTTTATTATAGATACTGCTATTTAGTAACAGAGTAGCACATCAACTGGAAACTCTTAACAAATAATTAAGGCCAGACTCCATTTTCACAAAATCTAAGTGAAATGATTCATCAGCTCTGGCTGCAATTACTTTCTAGCCATTATCCTCAGACTAACCAGTAATAACTATGCCACTACCCCATATATCTGCAGCTCTATAGGATCTGACATTTTACGGGTTCCATTCTCAGATTAGAAAAAGGTATTAGAGGAAATTTTACATACAAGTTTTGTCTTTCAGAAGGTGAGATTCTGTCTATGGGGAGGACAGAGGGAGAAATCTTCTTTGTATACTTCCATCCCAAGTTTTTTTATTATTTTAAAATACATTTTAGGGTGAACAAAGGTCAAAAATAATAATTAGAAAGTTCCAAATCAGAAACTATCTTCATTTACTCCAGCTGTGATTATGAGATCACAGTAGTGAATGGCCTATCTAGCATTTTCCTGACAGTATTCTCAGAAGCTGCCGAAGTACAATTGACAGCTATGAGCATTTCTCTAAAAACATTTAAAAAACTACCCCACAAGGCCATCCAACTGAAGCAATAGATTCATGCTTTCAAGGCAAATGTATGGGTCTGGACAATTTGACTGACCTAACTTTCTAAAATAATTTTTGAGATCTTGTCTTCACTTTTCCACCTCTTTACATTTAAAAATAAAAAAATTAAAACAAATTTCTACTTCAAGATCTGGAAGTAAATTCACCAATGGAAAACAGAAATCCAAAGGGGGTTTTCAATGGGGGTAACTGAGATCAAAGCCTGACCCTTCATTCAAGATACCTGCTTAGGATGAGATTCACCATAAAAATCAGTGCCCCATAGATCTTATTTAGGAACTCTCAGTTGTTGTGAGTTTTACTGTAAAATTCTATTGAAAACAAACACGTGAATTTGGAAAACAGCCAGATTAATATACAGAAATGTTACCTTCTACACTTAAAATCAGTGCTTATCTGGGGAGGTGGAAGGAACAAGCTATCTGGTGTCAGCAAATAAACCAAGGAAATTGGAAGGTTAAAGCCGTGAAAATATCTTATTACACTGGACCACCTGCTTGTGTTGTCCTATCCTCAGGAACTGGAAGGGGGGAAATCCCCTTGCCAGCCTGCAGTAGCATGTGCCTTTTCTTCTGCATCTGCTGCCTTGTAGCCGTCACTGTTAATGAGTGCTGTAATTAATAGATAGCTCTCTCCTGTCTTTCTACTTGCACTCTGGGCTAAGCACTTTTCTCAAGTCAACGTTTGAAAGAAAGCAGGTCGGCACTGACTTACAGCAGCTCTGTGAATTCCTTTTAATTTAGAGCACTTACACCCCCACTCCACTTATTACCTTATAATTACTGGACCGCTCTCACATACATTAGGATCTCAGACTAGAGTTAGAAGTTATTAGGGTACTAAAACATGGTCTGTCTCTCCTCTTTCTTTGACATGGAATTTTATATGATTAAGATCATCAATTAACTTGTGCATTCTACCAACTTATTTTTTACATTATTTTTCTACACACTAACAATTTACTAAACAGGTCCTTGGTTCTTTTTTCACCTCCATTCTTCTGAGACTCTACACAAAGTCTCAAAATACAGCACTAGGAGTCACTGCCTACAGTCTATCATAACCAGCTTGATGGCATGTTCTTGTCCAAGACTCCCACTGCCGATTTTTTTATCTAATTTGTGCAATAATGTGCTCAAATATTACCCTTCCCTTTCCAGAAAAAAACATTCAGAATTAATTAGCTGGCCAAACACACATTGTTTCAGCCAGCACAAAAGTGGATATCTCCCACTCCAAGCAGTCAGAACCAAAATAGAATCTCAGTTCTACAAGCACTAAAATCTGATCACCAGCATGGCCTAGGCTAAAGCCAGCCTGGTGATGCTTCTGAAGTAGTAGTTTCTGGTACTAACCAAGACAGAACTGCTTTTGGCTTCGGTTGAACAGTACAGACTGGATTGGTGCATGCTGGCAAAGCACAAATGCAGTTAAAACATTAGCCATTCCACGGAAAAGCAAAAACAACAGCGCCTGACTCTGAGAACAAAAACTTTCTCAGCCCCCAGAAGGTGAAACAGAGACAAGGCTGGGTACTAGCTGTGGGTGGGCAACAGACACCTACAGCTTTTACTCCTTCGTTACTGCACCACATCTGAACAAAAGTAATTCAAGAGCCATCTAATATGGATGGCAGGTGTGACCACCATCAAATTATCATGCTGAACATTTGGAATAATGCCTAAGCTAGATCTCTGTAAAATCCCTCCCTCAGTTCCCTCCTAATTACTACTTAGCTCGTTACACTGAAGAATTCCTAGACACCATTGCATTACAGTCTAAAACTACAGTTGGAGCTTAATTCTCTCTTCCTCTCTGTGTCTGAAATTCTACAGCTCTATTATTCAAGCCTGAAATATTCACAACTATCTATAAATTCAATTGTCAGCCAGTGGGTTTTATTCTAGACCTCACTTCAATCTAAAATTAGAGGCACTAAAATTCACATTAACTCTAAGAGGAATATAGTGAATAAGACTTTATTTCAAAAGAACACCTTTTTGTCAGAAAGAGCTATTTTCAAGATGATGGCTTTATCTGCATTCAAAGAGAATAAGCCCAATTCCACATTGTGCTGTTAATGCAAAATTTTTAGGTCACATTGGATTAATAAAAATCTAAATTTAGTTAAAGTTTATGAATAGAAATAACATGTGTCATATAAAAAAACTATAGTATTTATTTTAAAGTCTTGGTGGGGTTGTTTTTTTCCTTTACTAGATTTTAAGTCAAATAAATGGCAGCTTCATTTGTGGTGGGCTGCTTTCAATTAAGTTTTCTAACAACTGGAAGCTCTTGGGTAAACTTTCCTTTCAGTAATTTTAGGGAAAGTAACTAACTGGTTCTAGAAACATTTCCATGCCCATATACAAGAGAAAATACATAAAGAGCTGCAAGCCTTGGGTAATATGCAATATACAGCATAACTCTTCACATCTCTACTAAATTTACTTTACTTCTTCATTTAACTAAGACCCAAAGCCAGGAACTGTTGGCAGAAAGGTACAATGACAGAGCACTGCAATACGCAACTCCTGCTTTAAAATGGTCTTAAACAATAGTGTATAAATTGTAATGCTATGTGCTTATGAAAGGGTGAATATATTAAGAATTTATTCATGCAATCACATTCATATTTCCATCTACCTGCCACATTACTAATGATATTGACAGTGCTGACACTGGCTAAATCAGTATCAATATACAAGTGGAGTGCAAAAATTAACTACATCTGATTACAATATATAGCCTTGAAAAAGAAAGCCTTCCCATTTGAGCCACTGGGAGCTGTTTATATTCCATCCATACATGTTACTAGTTCATAAAGTTACCCTTCCCTCATCTTCCTTATTATCAATACCCAAAGGAGGTCAAAACAATGAGCCAATATGTCATAATCCATGAAGACATTTCATGCTCATTTTTCAAGCAGGAAAAGCTCTGCTTACAGCATCATTTGCTACTTCAGAGCTGCACTGGGAGTATCAATGACAGTAATAATTAGGCACAATAATGAAAGGGAGCACCTTTACGGCAGACCAACACAAAAGTCCACTTTTACCTGTACATCAAATTTTTTCTTTGCTTGAAGACAGAATTGCCCTATTTCCATAAATATCAGAATAGGTTGTTAGCAGTTGACATTTGTAATGACAGCTACTACATGGGAGCATCAGCAAGGCAGGTGTTATTATATACACCCAGGTACTTTTCATGTTACACTACAGTACAATCTACCTGATTTTCCTCTGGTACATGCTTCTCACATGGATGTTGACCAAAAAGGTCTTGCTATCCTCATATTTTAACTATGAAAGCCAGTGCATTAAAGACATTCTTGGTCTAAGTGACACAGCAAGTCTGTAGCAGTCAGGATTGTAAGCTAGATCCTTGCTTTGCCCATAAATACTACATTTTTTATAAATACTGTGCTTACTTTTAATATCATTTCAGAGGTCCATACTAGAATCAGCAGACAGAAAACAGTGCAGCATGTTCCAGTGAATTCCCATACTTGGCTTCTCTGAATGTAACACAGAAAAAATGTTCTGTGTGCAAAGAAATGAAAACATTGCTTCTCACACTGACACCCACGACAACACCTCAAGACATTCACCAGGCCCTGTTAAAGAGCTGAGTAACAATTTCAGCTGAGCTGCTTTACATTGAGCATTTTTTTCTGCTTCAGCTAATTGCACTCTAGTAAAGTGGCAAAATGTGAATCACTTAGTAGGAAAATGGGCACCAGCTGCTATTGTCAGAGAATGGAGATGCCGAAGAAGAGGAAAGCAACTGAATGAAGTGTCATGTCAGAAATCAACGGTGCAACGTGTGATTTGAGAAAACATGACTACTTT